TGGGGAGTTGGGTGGCAGTGGGGGTTTGGGGGTTACGAGTGGGCGTGCTGAGGTTGGGGCGTGTGAGTGGAAGGCGTGGGGGTCGAACGTAGAGGGAGGACGTGTGTGTGTGTGTGTGTGTGTGTGTGTGTGTGTGTGACCCCCCCCTCTCACTGACCCCCCTTCTCTCTCCTACAGGTCACATTGGCCAAGGCCCCTGCCCCAGGTGGGAGGGGGGCAGGGCCAGCTTGGCAGCCGCCCCCCACTACAGCAAAGCCCCCCCTGACACCCACCACTGGGGCCCCGAACCCCACCTGCCCTGCCAGACCCAGCCGCTGCCCTTCCCCCGAGCACTGGACCCTGCCCCCCGCCACCCGCAGGCCCCACCCAAGCCCCCAGCCCCCCTGCACTTCCACCCCCCACCTGTGGCCTGTCTCAACACCACCCCCCAGTGGCTGGGCCCCCCCTGCACTGCCCCTCCATATCCTCCCGAGCCACAGCTGCACCAGCGCCACCACTTCCTAGCTCCCCGCCCCCCCGGCGCTGCCACACACCCCCGGCGCCCGCTGCTGGAGCCCGCAGCCGAGAACCTGTACTACGAGATCGTCCCAGAGCCGCCCGTCTACCGGCCCTGGCCCCTGGGCCCCCCGCGCCTCCCGGCACCCCGCAAGTACATGGCCACCCTCAACGCCTCCTACGGCGTCTTCCAGCAGCCCAGGCCCAACCCCTTGGCCCCAACCCCACCCTTCTGGGCCATCTTCGAGGATGGGCGCGTCCCCTACGAGCCACCGGAGCCCATCTACGTCAACATCCCCTTTGCTGGCCCTCCGGCAGGGCCAGAGGCCAGGGGGCACCGCCGCAGCAGGGCCACGCCCCCCTCATCCTCGTCCTCCGCCTCGGCCTCCCCTCCGCCGGAGGGCGGGCACCTGCGCAGCCGCTCTGAGCCTGGCGCTGCCCGCGCCGCCCTGCACCGCCCCCCGGTGCCGGCCCTGCCGCAGAAACAGAGGCAGGGCCTGCGGGCAGCACCAGGCTGGGCCTACGGATCACCATCAGTGCCCGGACTTTACCGCCAGCTACTAGACGTGCTGCCCTGTGGCGGCACCATGCTGCGGTTCTACCGCCCAGCACCACCTGGCTGGGAGCCGGCCACCGGCTGCACCCCTCCCTTCACCACCTACGCTGAGCCCTCGCCCCGGCCTCCTGCCCTCCTCAGCCCTAGCCTGCTGGACGGTTACCGGCTGGGGCCCTACTCCCCCTATGCAGAGCGCCTGCCCCCCCAGTATGGCAACGTGGAGAAGAAGGAGGGGCCACCCCCACCACCTGCGTGCCTGGCTCCCAACTGGACGGTGCACTCTGAGGGGCAGACCCGGAGCTACTGCTGATGGGGGGCCCGGGCTGGACCACGAGGGACCCTGGGTGGGGGGGCTGGAGGACCTGTGTTGAGCTCCCCAAGTGCTGACACATACCCCTGGGTGCAGGATCTGAGCATTGGCTGGGGACCATTGCTGAGAGAGTCAGGCTGTGACATCATGTGAGGCCCCAATAACGTCATCCGAGGTCTGTATGACACGCCTGAGCTGCTGCAGGGCTGGAGTGATATCACACTGGGATCATGAATGGCAGGAGGATGGGCACTGTAACATCACAATGAGGCCACCAATGGCCACAGGACTGGTACAGTGACATCGCTACAGGGCCATCAATGGTGGGATGAACACCCGATGTGACGGCAGCCCAATTGCATTGCTGCTCCCCAATGATGTAACAGCTGCTCTCCAATGACCTCAGGGCCCCTCAGTGACATCACCACATCCCATATGCTATCACTGGGCTACAATCACCATCACACCCAGTATGACATCATTGCCCACCTTGGCTAGGCCTCCACCTGCTGATGCTCAGTGACCGCCTCAGTGTGACATAGGGAGGGGGCACAGGTGACGTCAGCAAAACCATGAATGACATCACTATCTGACTCCGCCCCCCAGGGGCCAGTGTGGGGCATAAAACTATTGGGGTCTTGCCCCACTGCCAGCCCTGGTAATAGGGGGACCCTCCCTGCCCCCTGGGGGGGGGCAGGGGACGCTGTTCTATAAAGCTTTTAAAGCTGAGAAAGATTTCTAACGTTTTAACCCTTCATTAACCCAATTAAAACACCCCCACCCTGAGATGGGATCCCCCAGCGAGGGGGGGGCACCAAGGGTAGTGGAGGGAGGCTAAAGGAAAAAAATCCCTCCCCAGCCTGCCTGTCTGGCCTCCCTGGTCAGCATGACCCATGAGCTGGGGGTGGGGAGCATGTACATATCTGGCTAGATTGGGGGTGTGCCTGCTGCCCCCTGCTGGAGGAGCTGAGCCCTGCTTGGGGGGTGTGATGGTGGGTGCTTGGTTGTGTTGTGTGGCTGTGGCTGTAGTTGTCTGGTTGTGGCAGTACCGCAGTGTGTGTGGGGTATGTTATGGGGTAGCTGGAGGTGTCGGGGGCACCCCCTGCTGACCCTCCCAGTGGCTGAGAACGGCAATTCCTGGGGGTGGGCAGCATCTGACTGACTATTGCACTAACTCCCATTGTGACTTTGGGGGGTCCCCTGGGAGTTATGACCTTTGACCCCCCCCCATACCCTGAACCCCCCACCCCCGTGATAAAGGGGCAGTGCTGTGACCAGCTGGGCCCAGGGTGGGTGGGGTTGCCCTGGGAGTGCTGACCTCCGCCAATACCCTAATCCTATAACCCACCCCCAGCCAAAATCCCACAGATTGGGGGGGAAGGGCTAATCCTGGTTCACCTAATTCAGCCCCATCCCCACTGCAGGGCCCTGGGGTGCTGCTGTGACTGTTCCCCTGGTGAGTGTATTTGTTGAAGATCCTGCCCTCCCCCCATTCTGTACTAAATGGTTTAAACCAACCCCATTAACTAATAAAGACAAAAACGAAAACAAAAAACAAGTTTCCCATGTAGTTCTTCCTTCTCAGAACACAAGAACTAGGGGTCACCCAATGCAATTAAGAGGCAGCAGGTTTAAAGCAAACCAAAGGAAGGACTTCTTCACACAACACCTAGTCAACCTGTGGAACTCCTTGCCAGAGGATGGTGTGAAGGCCAAGACCACAACAGGGTTCAGAAAAGAACTAGATAAGTCCATGGAGGATAGGTCCATCAATGGCTATTAGGATGGGCAGGGATGGTGTCCCTAGCCTCTGTTTGCCAGAAGCTGGGAATGGGCGACAGGGGATTGATGATTACCTGTTCTGGTCATTCCCTCTGGGGCACCTGGCATTGGTCACTGTCGGTAGACAGGATACTGGGCTGGATGGCCCTTCAGTCTGACTCAGTCTGGCCGTTCTTATGGTCTTCAATTTGGGGGTGGGGGCTGTAAGCCAGGACTAGCCCCAGCTCCGGGAGAGGAGTGGGGTCTACAGGGTTAGAGTGGGGCTGAGTGTGATGGAGTGGGCATTCAGTTTCCCCATATGCTGCATTGCTAACTAGGTGGTGGGACAAGGTGGGTGCCTCGCTGCACAGCCCCAGTGTGATGGACACTCGGCTGGGTACACGTCTCCCTTGGGGTCCCACAGACGGACTCGCTGGAGGAAGCCCCTGGTGGGGAATAGGCAGCTGGAGGCCCCAAGGTTCAGTCCCAGGGGACGGAGAAGGGCTTCCCCTGATGGCAGAGTGAGACCATAAGGGTGGCTGGCCCACGGATGCCCACCCCCAGGGCACCAGGCCTGCGGAGCTGTGACAGCAGTGGCTGGATGGATGCTGAAGGGACTGGCAGCAGGAAATGGCCTGTAGCCAGCGCCCCCAGCTGGACTGGAAGTAAGGGGGAGGCTCAGCAAAGTGCAGCCGATTGCACAAGAAGGATGATTGCTCCAAGAAGCAGATTCCAGGCCCAAGTGGGGGGTCACAAGAAGGATGATTGCTCCGAGAAGCAGATTCCAGGCCCAAGTGGGGGGTCACAAGGCTCCAGGAGCAGCAGAGGCAGCAGTTGGGCATCCCCTGACCCCGTTCAGTGCTTCACACCCTGGCTGTCCTGCGCTGGAGTTGAGAGTGAAGGAGCTGGAGGCGCGGGAGAAGCTGGAAGCATAAACTGGAAATGGAGATGCGGAGAGGCAGAGTGACCCACCGAGGGGAAAGTTGGGAAAGGCCCCGGGATGCCACTTCCGTAGGGAACCTAGATACTGGTGGGGGGTGGAGGGGGTGGGAGGACTATAGACACCTAGCTCTTTGCTGTGGGGCAGGCCTGTGATATGACCCAGGCTGCAAATGGGGCAAGGGCGCAGGTCTTGCTAGGCCCGGGGAGGTGTGCACCTGGCTGGGTTGATGCAGCTGGGTGAGATCCGGCCTTGGGCCCTGACAATGGGGTTAGGGAGCCTGAACCCAAGGATCTGCACAGGGCAGGCAGGCGGGCAGCTGTGTTTGCGGACAGTAGGGCTGGGTATGAAAAGAGACCCGAAGGGGACTGGCCTAGGGCGGGGGGGGGGGGCTCACCCAGGGGCACCCCAGAAGTGGGAGTCAGGCAAATCCAAATCAGGGGTGATGGCCACTGGGGGCAGACCACCAAGACCTGAGCCATAATTACTATGGGCAAACAGGGCCCAAGTGGGCACAGTGTCCAAAGGCTAAAGAACTAGTGGCCAAGCAGAAGGGTTAACTGGGGAGGGAGCCCAGCCTGGGGGGGGGCACCAGTTTCCCAGGTGGTGCGGCTGGCTGCGCACTGGGGGCGGCCGGGAGCACTCAATTTACAGGGTGGGCACAGGGCAGCCCCAGGGAGCAATCACTACACCCCCCACCCCCTTGAGTTGGAAGGGAGGATGGTTCTGGGGTTCCAGGCTACAGGCTCTGAGGGGATGCTGGCCTGGCCCCAGGTGGTGGACTTGGCCCAGTTAGTACCCAATGATACCTCACTCTGGGGGCAGGGGGTGGCCCCTGGTTACGGTGCCTGTAGTGAGGGTCTGAGATGGTGGGGCCAAGGAGGGGTCCAAAGAGGTTGGGGTGCAGGCGGGGCTGATGGGGACTGATCTGATGGCCTGGCTGGGTGATGTCCAGAGCACCCTGGTCCTTCCTGGAGCTAGAGCCAGAGATGGCCACCCCACCTTGGGGCCAGAGGAAGGGATCTACTGGGCTTAACAAGGCCGAGCTCAAGGCTTTGTCCTAAGTTGGGGAAACCAAGACACAGCCAGGGCCCTGACCCCAGCCCAGCGAGGAGGGACTCCCACCCGCTACCCCAGCAGCCGAATTTCAGCCTGAGCTGCAGCAGGATCCCTGCTTGGAGGAGCTGAGGGCCCTGGCTGGCTGCAGTGCGGCAGGACCCCTGAAGGAGGCCAGCAGGGCGGGATTCCTGGGGGAGAAGGGATTCCTGGAGCAGGTTCCCTGAGGAAAACTGAACTGTGGGGGATCAGGAGGCAGCCGGGGGTCCCCCAGAAGTGCCACCACTGGCTATTGTACAGGGCCTTTGACAGGACATCCGGAATCCAGCACACCCGGCAGAGGCTGCTGCAGAACGTGACACAGCCAGGCAGCACTGCAGGGCCTATGACCGCTGCCAAAGGGTGGGAAAGGGCCAGGATAAGGTAAAGCGGCCTGGAGACCCCTGCCCATCACAGAGGGACCTGTTCAGAAGGTGGCTGTGGACATAGTGGGGCCCCTCAGCATGCCGACTCGGGCCAGGAAGAAATACATTCTGGTGGCAGTAGATTTCACCACCCATCGGCAGTGGCTCTGTCCTCCAGTGAAGCAGACACGTGACAGATGCGCTGCTGACCATCTTCAGCAGAGTGGGGTTCCCCCGGGAAGTCCTTACAGACTAGGGGTCCAATTTCCTGCCAGCCCTGCTCTGGGGCTGTGGGGGAAATGTGGGGTCTGGCACATCCCCCTCAGGCCAACGGGCTGGTGGAGAGGGTTAATGGGACCCTGAAGCTGATCCTGAGGACTTTTATGGCCCAGCATCTGCAGGACTGGGACAGATACCTGCCCCACCTGCTGTTTGCACACCAGGAAGTTCCTGAGGAATCCACAGGGTTCCTGTTGAGTTGCTCTACTGGGGGAGAGTGAGGGGACTCCTGGGCTTGGTGAGTGATGAATGGGAGGGTGGAGAATTGGTGGTGGAGTATGTACTGACCTTTCAAGAAAGGCTCACTGAGGTCATGGGCTGGGCCAGGGAGAACCTAGCTTGGGCCCAAGGGAGGCAGCCCATCTGGTATGACCACACAGCATGTGTTCGCTCCTATGGCACCAGGGACCAGGGGATGGTTCTCAGCCCAGTGCGGCAGAATAAGCTACAAGCTGCCTGAGATGGGCTCTTTAAGGTCATCATAGAACTGAATGAGGTGAACTACATGGTGGCGCTGTCCAAACGGGCCTACAGCCTCCGAGTGTGCCATGTCCACATGATGAAGCCATACTGGGACAGGGAGAGGCTGGTGCTGGTTGTGTGTGGGCAGTGGGAGAAGGGGGAAGACACCCTGGTGGGTCTCAGGGCTGCGCCAGGAGCCAGCTGCCCGCTGGAATCAATCCCCTTCTCTGCCCAGCTAACCCCTGCCTGGCAGGCAGAGATCAGAGAGGTGCTGCGTTCCTACCAGCCGCTGTTCTCCAGCTGGCCTGGGCTCACTAACCTGGCTGTCCAGAGGGTGGACACAGGAGCCAACCCTCCCATCAGGTGTTCCCCATTCAGTCACTGGGAACACAGCCCAGGCCCTGGAGAGAGAGGTCAGGGACATGCTGGCCCTAGGGGTGATCCAGCGTCTACTAGCCCCTGGGCCTCTCCCGTGGTGCTGTTCCCCAAAGAAGGGTCAGTCAGATCCGGTGTGGACTAGCGGCAGCTCAGGGCCATCACTGTGTCCGACTTCTGCCCCATGCCTGGGACGGACGAGATTCCCGACAAGCTGGGGGCCCTGTTTCCTTACCGACCTGGACCTCACCACGGGCCACTGGCCTGTGCCCTTGGCTCCAGCTACCTGGCTGAAATCTGCCTTCACCACCCCAGTTGGGCTCAGTGAGTTCCTGGCTCTCCCTTTTGGCCTTCCGGGGGCACCTGCCAGTGCCAGGCGGGCTGGTCACTGAGGGGGAGGGAGGACTTGGCCTGGGCATACACTGACCCTAGCTGTACCTTAGCCAGCCTGGGAGGAACTGTCCTGACTGAAGAGGGGGCTGGGCAGAGATGTGTAATGTGGGATGGCCGAGGCGTCAGACCTGGATCACATGGGCAGCAGAGCCAGCCAAGGTGGAGATGATCAGAGCCTAGCCTCTCTTGGGCTGGTGGCACGCTCCCGGAGGTGTGTGCCCATGGGAGCAGGACAGGGCGCTCTGGCCCGAGCAGTGCCAGGGGCTCAAGCCAGGCCCCGTTCTGACACCCCCTGACTCTGCTATGCCCGTCCTGGTGTTCACAGCTGTCTCGGGGCTGGGCGTGGTGCAGACTCCAGAGTGTGAACCCAAGCAAGAACTGGCTTCCCCAGGAGCAGAGCCGTGCTGCCGGGGGCTCTGAGAGCTGCAGCAGATCGGGAATGGTGCTGCCAGCTGCTCTCCTCTGCCGCAGCTGCAGCAGCTGAACGGGGCTGATGCCAGGTTCCTGAGCTGCCAGCCCAGCCCCTCGGGATACAAAACTGAGTCACCTTAATGGGCATGGGACAGTTATAGCAGCTGCCTTGTCACCGGGGGGGGGGGGTGGTACAGCTGATCATCCCCCTGCCACTGGCTGAAGTGACCTCTGCTCAGACCTGGTTGGACTCAAAGAGGCTGCTCTGAGAGCGGGGGCATTTGCTCTAATATTTGGTATGAAGCCCGTGCGTGCCTCAGTTTCCCCACATGCATTGCTAGTTAGGTGGTGGAACAAGGTGGGAGCCTTGGTTCACATGCTACTTTGAACGTCCTCAACTAGACTTATGCGGATTGGAGCCTTCCAAGATCCACTGTTCGTTAAGTGTTTCTTGATTGCGCACTTAATTTGCAT